TAGTCTTCACTTCTCAGAGTAAAATTATGGAGTCCTTAGCATTTACTTCAAGGACACAGTGTAGAGGAACAGTAGTATTAAACCCAACCAGGATATTTGCTAGTTGCTCAAAGAAAGTTTCCATAGGGCTTCTGTGAATACTGGTTATCAAAGATGATGCATCTACAATGTCATACTAAAAAGAAAATGTTGATTTCCAAAAGTTCCATCATTAGAAATGATGTTAACATGGCCCAAGGAGCCCATTTCCTCACATGTCACTTCCCACTGTTTTAACAAGAAATTTCTTCTCATTGTGGCAAAAAGATGACTCTCCAAAGGGCACTCATCTCTTCTCAAATGGAAGTCTTTTGTCTAATGCATCTTAAGTAGTTCTGAAAAGGAACAGCAAGTCCGATACATGCATATTTAAAAAAAAAAATTAGAAAGAAGATTTCAATAATGGAGATGCAAGCCCTATGACATTTAAGGTATAAATTTTAAACGTCTGAACTTTTCAGCAGAAATAGTTGGTGACACCTTATTCTTTATTTGTTGAGCTTATATCCTATCCTAACTACTCCATTTCTGCATGTTTACTTAGCACTTACTCTGCACATAATAGCAATTCATGCTTAATAAATGTATATCCTTACATAATCAGTTACTGAATAACTTCAATGCAAAAATGTAACCAGTGTGATATATAATTACAGACTGTTAGTACTGCACATGGTTTAATAAACCCAGTAACTATGTTGAGTCAGGATTTGGGGGTTGTTTAGCAATTCTTGGAAGTATTTCTCATAAAGTCTACCAGGCAGGCCCCCCCTGGTGGCACAGCGGGTTAAAGCACAGCAATAAGAAGCGTAAACCACTTCTACATGAGTTCAATCCCTGCTTGCCCCAGAAGTGATCCACATGGTGTGGCAGACCTCTCCTGACCCACCCGCTGCTCCCCTCAGCAGTGTATTTCATCGATCTGCCTGTTCTGCTCCCCACTCTGTCTCTGGTGAATCCTCTCACCCTCACCCTCTGGCCTGTATCACAATTCAGTATGAATAAATAAATAAATCTTTAAAAAAAGAAAAGTCTACCAGGCAATAAAATGTGTGAAATATGTACCTAGACAGTGAGGGGCTTCCTGAAATAGTTGAGGTAGACTTTAAGGTGAATTTTAAGCTAAGTCATTTTCCCCCAATCAAGTTCCTCCTAGTGTGTGATCTCGTAATATTATGACAGTCTTACTTCTGATCTTACTAAGGGGCTGTATTTATAGCCTATTTTATAAATTCTTATGACTCACCCCATAAAGTCTGCCATGAACTGGAACTTTAAAAAATGAGAAAAATATCTCTTCCTTTGTTCGAGTTAGGAGAGTTAAATAACACTCAAATGTTTTCCCAGGTTTATGCCATTTATAAACCATTAAGAAAGATTCATTCTCTACCATTTTCCTAGTAGGGAAGTTTGTTAAAATTTCATTTAATGGTATGTAATAACTGTGGTGATGATGATGATGAAGAAGTACCAGTCTGATGTATATTTTAAGTTTTCCCAATAACTCTTGTGATATGGTTACATCCTGGTTGACTAGTAAAGCAATTTAGGCTCAGTGGATTTCTCTAATCATTCTTGTAATACATAAATAATAAATTTATTCCAAATTTATATTACTCAGCAACCAAGAAAAAGAAACACATGTCTTTTGCAGCAGCATGGATGGAGCTGGAAAAGATCATGCTTACTGAAATAAGTCAGAAAGAAAAGGAAAAATACCGGATGGTTTCTCTCATAACAGGAATATAACGGAACAGGCGAGAAAAATAGTGATAATGATGAACAGCTACATACCAGAGACATTTTGTGGGGGTGAAGTAGGGAATAGGATCAAAAACAGTGGGGGGAGGGAAATGCACTGGACTATGGTGATGGCACACGGGTGATTTGGTGATGGGAAATCCAAGGGGATTGCAACTAAGATGGAAAAATGCACAAAAATACGTAAAAATAAACTATTATTAAAAGGAAAAAATAATAATAAATTTATTCCAAATCTGAGGTCTGCATGACACAGATTTGAATAAGGAGTTACATGAACAGCATTAAAAAAAAAAACAAAACACACACACACACAACTTCCAATTCCCTTTCATTGTTTGCAGTACTTTATGTGGGAAGTTCTAGGTAGCAACCAAATAGCCATGGAATCTGTTTCAGATTTGGGATTCATGAGTATCAGTGATGAGATTGATTCTCATTTATTGTAGCCTCTGGGAAATTGGCTGGTGCATGAATGTGTGAAATACCAAAAGTGAGCTAATAGAATTACTAGAATCTAGCAATGCATGTAAAGTTTATTTATGTTTATGATATAGGAAGTGATAATTAACCCTCTGGACATTCCTTAGCACTTTTATTTTTTTAAAGATTTATTTATGTATGCACATAGAACTGGGGTACAGGCCAGAAGTACAGGGGTGGTGAGAGGATTTACTAGAGACAGAGTGGGGATCAGAACAGGCTGACTGATGGAGTACACTGCTGAGGAGAGCAGCAGGCAGGTCAGGAGAAGTCTGCTGCGCCATGCGGATCATCTCCGGGGCCAAGGATCGAACTCATGCTGAAGTGCCTTTAGCTTCTTAGTGCTGTGCTTTAACCCCCTGCACCACCGGAGAGGCCTCCTTAGCTCTTTTAAGAGTCATAGTGCACACACCTTCTGGGGAAAATCAAGTTGTTTTGTCCTTAAACTTGGAAGCTCTTTGTTTTAATATACAAAAATTTTTCCCCAAGAAGATGGCTGTTGGTTTCTTTCCATAATGCAATAGATTCAAATACTTTGCAAGGACTCAAACTCATGCTCAGGATTTTGTTGTGAGCATTGTTAGTCCATATGTGATTCTGGTTCCTTAAATCCTTTCTGAATTGCTGTTACCACCCTAGGGCTTGGGAATGGGTTGGACTGTAAATATCTCTAGTCAGAGATGCAAGTTAGAGTCTTAATTTTCAATGTAGTCTTTATTAAATCAGGCATTTGTTTTTAGTCATTACTACTCAGGATCTATTATTTCCTAGTGCATGATTTGTTCAAGGAATTTAACAATGAAAAAAATGTCAATAAAATTAAGTACTTTTTAATAGTTCTCCAAACTGTTTAATGATGCTTATCTTCAGTGGGGAAGATTCAACAGAGATGCCTTTTTTTCCTATGGTATTTGCATCTGGTATACAGCACATAAGTATCATTTCTGATGACAAAGAAATAGCTGAAAGAAAGAAGAAATTATTTATATTTAACTGTGCATCTATATCTATCTTCATAGGTAGATACATAATCAAACAAATAAAATACATACATATAAGTAAATAGCTAGATAGAATACATCTAAATACATACCATTTGCAATAAAATCTACTAAAGTATTATGTTCACAATGCAAAACTATAGGTGGAGGATTATGGGCAATTTACATTTTTCTCAGTTCTATATAATAACATGTCTTATTCTTGACTGCATAATAAACGAACGAAGAGCATGTAGGGGAAAAAAAGATATTCTCACCACTAAATAGTCATGAAATGTTTTATACTCAGGGTTAATGAGTATCAGGGAATAGAGAGATTTCACAAGCATTTTATAGGAAGTTACCTTAACCTTGAAGACTTTCTTAAGTATTTGATCCTAGACGAGAATGTACATGACTTTTCTTTTTATTTGGGCTGTCATGTGTTGCTTGGGTGGCTTACTAGAACTGTCTTTCTCATAGTTCAGGAGTCTGTAGGTTAGTGTGTGGTAAGAACAGGCATAACTTGCAAAGCCTTGTCTTCTCACGGCACCCCATGGGCAAAGGGGAAGGGAGGGAAACAGGGAGAAGAGAGGAAGAGAGAGAAGAAGGGATATGAGAAGAGGGAGTGGGAAGAGAGAGAGAACTCAGTGTCTCTCCCTGTTTGAAAAAACAAGCATTAATGCCATTATTAGGGTCCTGCCCTTAAGACCTAACCAACCCTAATTGCCTCCCCAAAATTTCACCTTCCAATACTATCCATTGAGAATCAGAATTTTACACATGAATGAGGAGAGGGGAGTTGATTTAGACTTCAGTCTATAATACCCTCTCTTGGGTCTCCACTCTACCCTATTTTTAGTTTATTTCACTGTTTATTTATAAACCACATTTTCTAATTATATCCTGTGATCCTTAAAATGTGTACTTTATTGGGTTCAATATTCTACAACCAAAGCACAGATTTTGGTTTATGAAAAGACTATTAATAACTTGTGGAAAAAATTCCAATATTATCTTGATCTTAGTGTTCCTGAGAAACAGTTGGCTCGAGATACAAAACATCTTCATGTGTTATAGGAAAGAGTTTTCTATTTCAGGAGAAACTATGGACCTGTCTGTTTAAAATTCTTAATTTCATAAAATCTACTGTGGTAAAGCTACTAAAATATCTACTTTAGCTGAAAAACATTATTACTAGAGAATAAGCAGCCATCTTATATCTATGGACAGAGATAATAGGAAAACTTAAATATATAGACTTTATTTAAAATGACATAAAACAACATCAACACCACATATATACGATCCCATCTGATGTAACACCAGCCCACATTTCCTTGCTTGGCACTATCCTGCTTTGAGCTTGAGTTCATTGTGTTATATGATATTTTGTGGCAACTGCTAATTATCATAAGCTGTCCAATAAATGTGATGGATTGTCCAATTAACTCTTCATCAGCATCCGTTTTTGAAGATGCTACCTATTGAAACTGATGGCAGTTTATGACCTCCATGTTGTGCGCACAGCTAATTACTCCTTGGACAATAATTATTAGGTTTCTTGTGCCTCATTCAGTCACTTTGTTTTACAAATTATGATGCCATCGAGTTTCCCAATTCATTTGACTTCACAATGATGGCTCTCTGAGGGCTACTAAAGGTCTGTTGTAGAATGTATGGATCATAGAAACATTGAAAACATTGAAGTAGATCACATATATATCTATTTTGTAGGTTTTCCATTGACCGGCACACTGACCTGGAGAGACAGTTCAACATTAATGCAGATGATGGGAAGATCACGTTGGCAACACCACTTGACAGAGAATTAAGTGTATGGCACAACATAACAATCATTGCCACCGAAATTAGTAAGTGCCTGTGTTTATTCATTTCTTCCATGTTTGGCTGGGTTCAATGTGTGTCTAGTGAGCCCATGATAATTTCCATGAGATTTTTAGTAATAAAAGTTATTCTATTGTTCCCAAGGAAACTGTGACTGAATTATCTCAACATGAAACAATTTAACACAGTGGTAAATTACCAAAAGTTTACATTCTATGCAGGAAGGTAGCATTCTTATGTCCACTTATTCTTATAGCTTATATCCATTTATCCAGCCATTAAAAACAATGTTTTGCTTCTCATAATGTGGGGCAAGATATAGTACAAAAGCAGAGGTAATAAAATAGAACCTGAAAATGATACACTGTAATTTAAATAAGTGGGCACTTATA